TAGATATTGCAAATATCTAAAAAAGTTGTAAAAAATTGTGAAATCGATTGGTGTATTGGTTGCAGAGAAAATTGCTTTTTTTGCAAAAAATACAAAAATAACAACATCAAAAATGAAGCCAAACAATTAAAAGTGTCTCATAAACGTTTCGTGTCCTATAATCGTCAAAAGCGTTTAACATAAATAACCTATCAGCAACCGGAAGAACACCAAGTAATTTTCGCTCTATTACCGGTACCATGTATATATAATGTATTAGAATATGCATGTAAGGAAATTATCAGTTTTTGCTATTTCAAGTGATCAGAACTGCAGTCATGTTTCATAGCTTCACTGAATTGGATAAATAAAGAGTCTTTCGAGGAAGGTTCGGGTTCCCTTTAAAGTGAGGTTCTAAAGCAGGAGTCTGCAACCTACGGAGTAATATAATCCGACCCGCGACGCTTCACTGAATTATATTAACAAAACAGCTGTTTTGACGATTATAATCTTTACGTAACAGCATTTATTGCGAGATGCGTGTAGACTAAATTATATTATAATCTAACAAGTATGAAATTGACAATTACTCGTTTAATTAGCTTATAGTTTAATTAAATATAATTAGACAAATGGCAACAAAACGCAGAGAAGTTGATTCTAAGTGCAAAGGTTCAATGGTGCCGAAAATATTCAAATGGATTTTTTGAGATGCAATGCAACATATCACTGCATGATTTTTATTATCAAAAGTATCATTCGTTCAGTTTTCATCTATACGTGCGGCCCGCCAATGACTTGCAACCCTTAATTTTGGCCCGCGGGTGACAAAAGGTTGCCGACCCTTGTTCTAAAGCATAATTCTAAATCTTTATTCTTGTAAAAATAATTATGCATATTGCCACAGACAGTAAATTACAGTCCCATGCGGCTTTGTTGGTGAAAGAAAAACATCAATGTAAAGATTCGGCCAACTGGTAACAGAAAATGCCTGTTTGTCCGTGACTATTCCATATATGCTCATGAAAATTACTAGTGAATAAAATGCAGTTTCATAAATAGTCTTTTCTTTTATGAAAAATCGTTAATGACGGTCTTGTATGTCATTGTGTTTTATGAGTTCGATCCATTATAAATTTGTACTGAAAACATAAGTGTAGCTGGGAAAAGTTTCCTTTCATGATCACAATGTATAAAAGGGGACCGTTTTCAACTGTTTGCTTCATTAATCTTCAATGAATGAACTTGTGATTGGTGATTTGAATCGCAAATACCTCGAAATCGTATTCTCTTGCAACTGCTAGGGTAATCCTGTTTGCCACGCAGATCGGCCTGGCTGGAAAACGGGACACAAAGCTGTTTTGATCAACTAAACCTCTAAAAGTCATCAATAGTGCACAAAATACGTGAGTAGAGTGAAAAAGCTTTGTTAAAATTTGTTTTTATAATAAGTCTTCTCGAATGGAAAAGTAATAGTAATTTAGACACATTTCTTCTAATCAAACAATGGGGCTTTTAACTACTTTGAAGGTCGAAGGAAATTGAGATGTTAGCTATTCTGGTCATCAACGTTAAGTGACCTGGAGCAAGGGTCCGCAAATACAAGGTCGCGACCCAAATTTGGGTCGCGATACCCTCCACCCTGGGTCGCAAAACAATTTAAATTTGCCATAAATAAAAGCATAGCGTATAAGCGTGTAGCATATTTATGTACTATAAATTTATAAACCTCTAACCTCTAAACCTCTAAAATTAGTATTAGTCCAGCGGATAAGAGGTAAAAACATGCACTTTTGGAAGCAAGCATGAAACTTGGCACACATGTACACTAGCATCCCCTGATCAATTTCGGATATGGTGCCATCCAAAAAAATACCTCGTTGCCATGGAAACGAGGCATCATCCACATTGCTATTTAAGTGAAATGAACATTACTTTATAAAAGGATATTTTCAAGACAAGTGAACCGATGTGTATATAAGAAGTGAAGAATATGATCAGAAGTGCATTTTGACAATTTCCCTTGATAACAGAATAACTGGTTACCATGGAAACGAGGTATCATTATCGACCAAACGCGATTATTTGTCGCACAACCTGTATTTTCTGTTATTGTCATGAATCCCAAATTAATTAAGCTACATTCACTTTCAAAATGTAATTCCTTTTGTGCTCAATCAACTGACATCGCCGATGGTATACTTTTAAACTCATAGCCACGTAAAGTTGGTGATAATATAAAATATGAATCTCATAGCTGACGGATTATTGTTATCTTGGAGCTATCATATCGTCATCATATATTTTAATAAAGATAAATTCATTCTCTTAACTCTGCCATTAGTATCTCAGTCAGATAAAAACGGAAAATTTGCATTACATTTCAGCTCAAACTCGGCTGGAATCGTTGATTATTCTAATCTATATCTAACGTCGCCTTATGTAAGTGCAACAAAACGAAATAAATAGAAAAACGATTGAAATAATTATATTTTCCCAAAATGTATTCCACAAAGACTCCCCAATAACTAGTGGGGGCAATTTTACTATTTAGATATATACTCCTGCACTTTTGGATGCAAGCATGAAACTTGGCATACATGTACATTGGCATTCCCCAATTATTTTGAAATGTCAGTCGTTATTTCCGCAATCCCCATCACAGAAACATAGTGGTGTACATGCTAAATCAGAAAGGAAACATTTGCAGCGAGCAGCACAACCTTTCTTGCAGCCACAATGAATCTGCAAATTTTGCTGCTTCGAGGATAGTCATCCATCTTGATAAAAATTTGTCTCCTACTTTTTCCCATCCCCATCTCTGTGCATCAGGTAAATTTTGTGAAACCTCTGTTGCTTTGCTCCAAATAAACACACCTTGGAAGATTGCTCTATGTATGTGTTGCAGCAGAGAATTTGATGTAGGGGGGATGTTCTCTGGCATTTCCCCTTTCTTTGTAAACAGACGATGTCGTAGCTCATTAACCTGAAGGGAAGTAAAATAATTATCCGTGAGGAATGTTTCTGCTTCTGAAGTTTGTTCAATATCCAAAGAGTCTAAATTATTTTTTGGCTTATCTAGCTGGCACATGTCGATAGATAGACGTCGAAATGTTGCCGATTCTAGTCATCAATTAGGATTCAACCGCATTTCAACATCTATCTAACATCTGGGTAATTGCTAAGTTCAACTGTACATACCTTTGACAATATACTTGTCCGATCGTAGAGCAGAACGATGAATCTTTCAATCATTTGAATGCATTGTGCAGGCATTTCGCTTGTCCCCTCTAGCTTGTCATACATTGTACATACCTTTGACAACATACTTGTCCGATCGTAGAGCAGAAGGATGAATCTTTCAATCATTTGAATGCATTGTGCAAGCACTTCGCTTGTCCCCTCTAGCTTCAGTAGGCTCAACAGCGTCTTGGTAAGATCTGGAAGATTTTTCCACGTTGTCCAAGCCCTCTTATTACCATGACAATCTTCCAAGGTGTGTTTATTTGGAGCAAAGCAACAGAGGTTTCACAAAATTTACCTGATGCACAGAGATGGGGATGGGAAAAAGTAGGAGACAAATTTTTATCAAGATGGATGACTATCCCCGAAGCAGCAAAAATTTGCAGATTCATTGTGGCTGCAAGAAAGGTTGTGCTGCTCGCTGCAAATGTTTCCTTGCTGATTTAGCATGTACACCAATATGTTTCTGTGATGGGGATTGCGAAAATAATGACTGACATTGCAAAATTGATCGGGGGATGCTACTGTACATGATTGCCAAGTTTCATGCTTGCATCCAAAGTGCAGGAGTATATATCTAAATAGTAAAATTGCCCCCCCCCCCCCCCCCCCATATATTATATAATTAACATATAATTATTTCAATCGTTTTCTATTTATTTCTTTTTGTAGCACTTACATAAGGCGACGTTAGATATAGATTAGAATAAACGATTCCAGCCAAGTTTGAGCTGAAATGTAATGCAAGTTTTCCGTTTTTATCTGACTGAGATACTAATGCCAGAGTTAAGAGAATGAATTTATTTTTATTAAAATATATGATGACGATATGATAGCTCTAAGATAACAGTAATCCGTCAGTTATGAGATATATATTTTATATTTTCACCAGCTTTACGTGGCTATGAGTTTGAAAGTATACCATTGGCGATTGCAGTTGATTGAGCACAAACGGAATTACATTTTGAAAGTGAATGTAGCTTAATTTGTGATTCATGACAATAACAGAAAATACAGGTTGTGCGACAAATAATTGTGTTTGGTCGATAACGATACCTCGTTTCCATGGTAACAGGTATTCTGTTATCAAGGCAAATTGTCCAAATGCACTTCTGATCATATTCTTCACTTCTTATATACACATCGGTTTACTTATTTTGAAAATATCCTTTCCCCAAAGTAATGTTTATTTCCCTTTAATAGCAATATGTATGATGCCTCGTTTCCATGGCAACGAGGTATTTTCATGGATGGCACCATATCCAAAATCATTCAGAATATGCTACTGCACTTGTGTGCCAAGTTTCATGCTTGCTTCCAAAAGTGCACAATTCCATCATTTTTGAGGTCTTATCCGCTGGACTATATAGAAATAGCTGTAATAGACTAAACTATTTACCGGTATATTTAAATGAAAGGTGTTGAATGTTTTTAATTAAAACGACGGTTTGAAACATATAAACCGGTAAACATAAGAGTATATAGGAAGAATTTGCCGGCGATCAAAAGTCGGGGAAACATTACTAGTGTCAAGTATGGTCTTAAAATCGATAACTAATTACATGCTTACCAAACGCTTTGGTCTCGAGAAAAAAAATTTGGGGTTGCGCCAAAAAGAAGTTGCGGAATCCTGACCTATAGAGTAGTTGCAACCTTCTAACTGACCCTTTTACAATGAAGTATAATATATAATTGTCTTTGATGAGTTGTATTGAAATTGATATTTATAACCTTGGGTGGATTGTCAATTTAATGAAAAAAATAAAGGAATCATATGTTCACGCATGTAATCCACCGGTGACTTCCAGACAAGCCCCGTTGACGTATGAACTTTCATTGAATGCCAGAAACAAACATACATTCGCTGTTTCTTCCGGTTCACCCAACCTTTGCATTGGTCTTTTCACCAGAGCGTGCTCGACAATGTCTTTTGCCAAAACATCAAGCATAGGCGTTCCAATCGTTCCTGGCAAAACTACCTTGCAACGGATTTTGTGTTTTGAATACTCTGATGCAATACATTTTGTTAATTCAATCATACCAGATTTAGTCGCTGAATTACCAGCAAATGATGGGGTATTTCTAGTACCAACTAGGCTCGATACATTGACTATGCAACAAAAATCTTTGCTTTTATCCCCGTCTGAAATTGATTTCACAAATTCTTTGGACATCAGGAAATATTCCACTACTACCACCTGTTTAAATAGTGCATTGAACCGCTAATCTTCCTTGGGACATTTCGATGGGAAGATGATTGGGTGTTTTGCAGAATAAAACCCACTATAATGATCACATAGAGCAAAGCCAGTTCTTCATATTTAAATAGAAGTGTTGCTATTTTTTAATTTTTTAAAATATTGTTGAAGTCATGAAGGTTTTAAAACAGTTTGCAATAAATTTATTAAACTTTTCTACAAAATCTCACCTGCATCGGTGCAAGTTATCACGATGAAGTATTTTTCATAATCCATTAGAAATACAGTTATACCACGAGAAAAGTCTTTCATCTCTGAAAAGAACGTAACATATCATACCGAAATCTTTGATAATTTCACTATCACCATAAATCCCTGTAGTATAGGACGTTAGTCTCAGCAGCCTAATAAAAGACAAAATCTGTCACTTCAGCACAATACATAAATTTTACGTGAAAACAGACTGCAGTTTGGTGGCAGTTCGATGTAACCTAGAAATTAAAATCATTAATAAAAAACAATAGTTTTTCTTTCATCCTTTATAACAGTTGGATGAAATTGATTAGAATCCATTGTTTCCTCAGCTTGTGCGTGTGACCTTCCCGTTTTGGGATTGATAAGTTGTACTGGCGATATTTTAGGATCCATTAATTATTATCTGTGTACCAACTGCGTTTACCAAATATGCTACACATTTTAAATCTCCTGAATAAAGATTTTACAAGAACACTGTTTATACGCCTGGAATTGGGGCTGACTTTTGCCCCTAAATTGGGCAAAACATCGTTGCTAACCATTTTCCATTATTCTGTCATAACACATAACCTAAGGATAAGAAGCATTGAGACAAATAAAAAAAAATTTATATTTCCTTTTGCTATAGATACCCATCATAATGTCCTTCCTTTTGTCATTTGTTTCGTTGAAGAAAGGTATCGTCTAATGATTTTACTGTAGAAGACAAATACCGAGTATAATAGAAACATTTCAAACGACATATGCTGGGCTTGAATTATTTAAAATAATTTTGGAAATATTTTGCACAGTATGTTGAATGAACCCAGTGGCGCAGCCAGGGGGGTTTTAGAGGTCGGAATCCTCCCTTTTGAAATTTTTTAAGACAGAAAAATTCACTGATAACACGTAACAATTTTACTAAAATCGCCGATCATTTTCGTCAACGTGAGATGTTATTTGGGCCACGACAACGATGATAATTACTTTTTTATTGTAGCCTACTTGCACAGAATTGTGAATTATTAGTTTTGTATGTTTATCAGCGGCTAGATGCTAAATACAAATAAAGGGATGAATTCCCGACGCGAGTTTCTTGATTGAAAAGTGGCAATAAGGAAATTAAAAACTAGAAAAAAAATATAAGTTTTGTCGTATGAGGTCGGCATTTTGAAAACGCTTCTTTCGACATTGTTAATCGCAAAATTTCGTGTGCCTGGGGCGCACATCACGTTTGGTTTGCGTTGCGTTGCGAACCACACCGCCAATGCAATGCAATACCAAAACACAGTCAATTGTGTGCGAAATTTTCCTTGTTATCGTGTTTCCTTAAAATTTTTGTGTTAACATTATACAAGGTTGAAAACGGGACTTTTTCCCTGATTAGGGTATATAAGAGAATTAATCCTAAGTATATTCAATCAATTTTTATTGTATTGGGAGAAGATTTGTTCCGTGGTATTTAATAGCAGATTTTTTTAACGGTTATATCCAGGCTTGTCCACGGGTAACGTCTCATGGGACGTCTCATATATTTGAGCATAGCTCTCTTGTTAGTTATAAAGAGCAAAATATATTCAGCATTAACAATATACTTTGTGAAAGGGCCGATGGACACATGTATAATAGTTATAAATATAAAGTTAACAAAGTCCGTAAATTTTGTTGTTTTGCATGTCTCTTCGTACATGTATGTCCTATTTAGTAGACGCTTAACCTAAATTTAACAATTTTTATCGACTTATATTCCAATGTGAATCCCATGGGATGAGATGGGATGGGACAGGCGTAATTGTTATGGGATGGGATGGGAATGGAACAGAAAATATGTCCCATGAACAAGCCTGGTTATATCATAAAAATAATAAAAATAAGTTGAGTGACTTCATTGCGATAGAGCGGAGTCAGCGTCGCAAGTACAGCTCAGATTTGTCGAATTTGCAAAATGACAAAAATACAGATCAAAACAAGATATAATCGGGCAGTTTACCACACATTTTTATGTCAGCAAATTGCCATGGTATTTTAGAATAGTGATGCTTTATTTTGCCGACGAAATAGCAGGCTAAATTGAAGACAATTTTAAATAAATAAAATAAGAAATTATACGTACATTTGTATCGGTTGTGGATTGACCACTTTGCGGGACAGAAAAATCTTTATCCCGTTGAAAAAGTCGGTTTTTCTAACAAGTAACATATTCGCGGCAATTGTTCAAAATCCATTCCGTGGGGATTTTGAGGCGATGGGTATGTATATTTGATTTACTAATATAATTTGGATGCGTTTTTATTTCACGAAATTGTACTCTGTGTCTATGGGATTTTATATCAGATCTTGGGATGTTTTAACGGCGATAACGAATTCGCAAGCTCGCAAAAATACGTATCAAAACTAAATATAATCAGGCAGTTTGTCTCATTTTGTTATGTCCCCAGGTTTTTTTTTCATCGTAAGAAGACGCAACCGCGAGTTACTTGAACACAATTAAATTAAAATAGGAAGACATTTTAGATTCTGATATTTGTCATGGATTGAATATTTTACTCACAGAAAAGTCATTATACGTGGTAGAAGTCTGTTGTATTAAGGAGTTCGTAATCGCGGGACTTTTCAGAAGGAAATGAGAATTTCGATTTTGAACAGCCTTTTCCCTCTTACTTTTTTGAAATTATGGCTGCGCGCCTGAATGAACCGCAATTCATCCCCATATTTACAGTAAATTAATCAATAAAATTATATTCACATTTTATGAACTAGTGCTTGTCTTGAGAGGAAAGTCTACGACACACGTCCCCGAAGTTACTTCCTGAAGTCTTGAAAAAGTGACACAATAAAATATTTGTCTATTCAACTGTCTAAATCTAAAAATTATTATACGTGTCGTTTCCCAGGCGCGGCGGTGCGGCTCAACGGGCTAAGCGTTAGGAATACGCTCGCCACCGCACCTCTAATTACTCTGCATGGGTTCGCAGGTTCGAATCCCATGCAGGGATGGTTATGTGCGAGAGGATTGCTGGACTCCTCGCCGTCGTTGGGTGGTTCACGTAACCGCTGGTCGGTTACGGCTTCCTCCACCATCAAGTCCATGCTTCCGAAAACAAACAATATAACTAAACCCATACCCGACTTGGAATGGTAACCGGACGAGAGGCCGTGGTTCACCATATGGATAAGCCGTCTTATCGGCTTTCCTATCCCCCGGGATAAATATGTAAATCCTATCCTATAGTGTGAAATGTAGCGCTCAGCTATTGAATGATATAAACCACTGCTTGTATCTCGCACCACGTGGATCATAATATGTCCTCGATCATTGCTGTTAATATAGCGACAGTGATTTTACGATATGTAATGTACAAGAGCGGAACGGAAAAGTAAATGGTTTAAAGTTTCTATGGGACGCTTTCTGAAAACAACAAATTTGTTGGTGCGCAATAGTGACATACAAATCAATGAGGAAAATTCTCAATCGCAGAGTCACAGAAATAATATTAAGAATCCTCTTCTACAAAATCTCACCTGCATCGGTGCAAGCTATCACGATAAATTAAATTTCATAATCAGTTCGAAATACAGTCATAGCATAGAAAATGTGACTAGTCAAAGAATTTTCTAAAAATGAGAATGTTTTGAACCCGCCTTATAATATGAGTAAAATGACATCTTCCCATCTTCGCCCAGAAGTTGTGTTTCATATTATTGCTTGCGATGAAGTTATAATTTGGCAGTTACTTGTATTAAAATCATAAGTATATTTCATTATCTGGTACTGGGATTAATTCAAATCAATTGTGCAACTTTACAATATATAAATTGTGGCACAATTGGCACTACAGATATTGTGTGCTCGTTGATGATCTCCGGGGGAGTCAGGTGGGTATATCACTTCATACGTCCGTAAAACCGGACAGGAATATATAGGGCACGCAGAGTGATATAAACTAAGAAAAAGACATAGAAAACGCATTTGACTCTGAAATAAATAACAACTATTCATCTTAAGCAAGTGGAAAGGTTGGCCACAGATGGAATTCTGCACAAAGTTTCTGTCTTATGATTGAAGAACCCGAGCTTACTTTTTTTTAATAAGTATAATGAATATCTTCAGACTATTTTATTGTGATCTTGCAAGCGTAGAACACACATTTTCTTGTAAATAGTTGCTTGATAGTGGATTAAGTGGAATCTGTTTTACATTTCGATATTGGAATCATACAAAATTTTACGATTGCTTTCACGGCCTATACAATTTGACCACGCCACTCGTTATGCATGATTAGGTAAAATAATCACAATTTTTGCTTTGGTGCAACACATCATGACTATAGGCACGGGAACCCATATAGGAATTCCATATAAAAAGAAAAAACATGTTATCTCTAGCCGAAATGAAAAAGTAATGATAAAAATGCCAAGAACTGCGCAAGTCTTGTTTTAAAATTTTGAAACTAATAAATGCAACCAACAAAGTTGAGGGAAAGGAAGGAGAACAGGAGGCAACGCAGATGCAGGGGGGGGGGGGGGGGGGGGGGGATTCTTCAGTTGATCCCTGAAGTTAATTAGGAGTTTTATTGAGCGCATGTTTGGGACAACTCATTTCATAATGATATAGGTTTTCACAACAGTAATGAATGATATGCCCAGTGCACGCAAGATATGCAAAGATTCGCACATGAATTGACGGCAAATACAAACACAATAAAGCAAACATGGACTATAGAAATTGTGAGCGTACCACGTATTGCTCGGTGGAAGAACATGAATTTTTGACATGAAAGCCTCGACGTGGCCCAAAGCGTGACACTCAAGAGGTACGGTATATATCTATTGCCGCAAAAACTTCTGTAAAATTATATTCAAGATTCAAATAGACATCGTTTCTACAATATGTTCCTATAGAATCTTACCTAAACGAAACGATTATACCGTATATGTGATATTGAAAATAACTGATTAACAATGATTTGATTGGGAGTGTAAACAAGTCACACGTGAGCAAGTCTTTTTTTTGCTTGTCAAAATTGCCTTGACCAGTGTCACTGTTAATTCCGCTGCCTAGGAATTGGAATCATGTT